TACTTCCATTGAAAAATGTGTCCAGCACCAGAAGCTGCGTTGGTTGGGACATGTGTTGAGTAGGACGAACCACCGTTTGCCGAGAAGAGTGCTGTTTTCCATGCCCAATTCGGAGTGGCGTAAACAGAGAGGTGACCAACCCTTGACTTGGCAGAGGAGTATGAAGAAGATCACGAAACGCTTGGGTAGTGTCGGTGCTACTTGCCTTCCAGGATGGGGACCGCGTGATCCTCACTGTGCCCGTTTGGAGACACTACAAGATATGGGTGCCAACCGATGTCAGTAGCGCACTTGTTGTCAGTTTCTATCCAGATTGCCTGAGTGAATGTCTGGAGGTATAGGCACCTCGGAATGATTGTGGTAAGCTAGCACTAAGTCCCTTCCCTGTTCACCTTTACTCTTTTCTTTACAATGAGGCTTTCAAATAAATCATGGTTGTACGGCAGTACGGTATAGCCCTGCTATCCTTCAATCACTTCAGTTGATCTGGTTTTGACTGGCTCCTTAAGTGGCGAATTCTCAAACGGAAGACCTATGCGTCAAATTTGGGCAGGTTACTTAGGCCTTGACGCTGAGAGTCGATACACTTGATTTGGAGAACGAAAGGGATGCATCCTCGCTAACGTAGCAGCTGTTACTCTCCTGCAATATTAAAGGGCGTTATCGCCCGTTCGTTTTATGTGGGCACGAGATAGCAGGTGGATTAAACCTTACTGAAGAGGCAATTTAGACAGACGGAGGCCAAAGCAAAATGCCGCAAAATACTGCAGTACTCCTACAGAGTACCATACTGTTTACTCTTGGGAAGAACGCAGAATTAGACCACTCCCGCTACCTTTTGTGGTGACCTAAGGGATATTCTGTTTTTTCTGTTTGTCCTCAGCTTCTCATATTTTGTGGAATTTAAGCAGCGTATTATCTTTTTAGCAGAATTCGACACTTTTTCCATTTATCTCAGATATTTTGCTCGTTGCCTGGTGTTCACCGTGCTTGAGCGTGGCTGTCGTTTGTCAAACGTAAGGCGTTCTTTGATTCTTCTAGTTTGTTGGACCTTCTTCATTTCGTTGCTTGCTGGCAGCAAAATTCTTGTCAGTGTCGTGTTTTGTAGTAACGAACAGAATCTATCCTGTATCATCATTATCATCGACAACATGACATCAGTGTTCAACACCGATGCTTCACTGCCGTACAACCATGATTTATTTGAAAGCCTCATTGTAAAGAAAAGAGTAAAGGTGAACAGGGAAGGGACTTAGTGCTAGCTTACCACAATCATTCCGAGGTGCCTATACCTCCAGACATTCACTCAGGCAATCTGGATAGAA